ATCCTTTTTGTAACTCGAGAAGGCACCAAAACTGGATGGTCTGTATCCAGGCCGTTCAAAGAATGGCGACTCCCTGGTGAACCATGTAACAAAAGTTGTTGGCGTGATTTGGATCGAATTGAAAGTGTTTGTAGAATAGGGCACGTTGACAGTTGTTCCTATCTCCAAAATGAGTGCGTAGACGCTGTGTGAAAGCCACCATGATATCAACCTGTTATCTGTGGCGTCGAAGGTGCTCTCTCCGAAGGTTGCCTGAACACAGGGACATACTGATCCGCGAAGACCCAGCTGGGTTCTGACCTGAGAGAGGATGCACCGATCATATTTTCACCATTCGACAGATTGTGGAACGGCGACACTGTCTCCAGCAACCGATAACCGTGGTTTATCTTGAATTGAGGTCTGCCTTTGACTCTGTGGACCAAGGGTGTCCCCTTTAAATTTCTGGTACTCTTTATGGCGTTGTGCATCAACTCAAACATCAAGTATATTAAACGTCAGAAACCAAGTCCAAAACCTATGTACAAGCAGTCGTATTTAAAGTGCGTGAGGCGGCAACATTCTGGAAATTCGGACACTCGGACGAGTCTTTGGCAAATCAATTCGGTGGATGCTTGATTGGATCATGATTGGTTGCTGGGTCCACGCTTTCGTCATGTCAAAGCTCGCCTCGATACTGCTTCGAGCTTGTTACCGATTGCATACTAATTAGGCTTCTTTACTGTAGGAGTGCATGATTGTGTGCGGTAAAACGGTGTTGGTGCAGAATTCCCCCTAACACTTTCGTGGGCGCGTGATGGTTTCCGGAGGCTCTAGCCTGAGCTCACCACGTGTGGGCTGAGGCGACGTAAGATCAAGAAAATAGTTCCGTCGTCGTGATATTGACGTCAGTAGTAACAAACTTTAAGAATGATATTTGTACGGGTTTTTGGACGCATTGTGTGGGACTGAATAAGCGTACGCCCTTGGGTTTTGCGGTGGTCAGCAAGCGTTGACTACCATTACACCATTCTGAACACGATGTGATGGATGTGTCAGGATGGCGGTAGACCTGATTTTCCTTTCTTGCTTTCCACCGAGACCAGGTGCTACTCACGAATTGTTTTTGACTGTTCCCTATATGTTCGGCAGGTCCGTGGTTCGAACCCGATCTCTGCACCTCGACTTCTGTCTCAGTTTGACCAACCTGGCAGTTATTTAGTCCTCATGCTCCCTTTGGTTGCCATGGCAGCTAGTAACCGAAAGGGTGGCACAGCTGAATAATTTTTTTTCGGCAGGGCATTGCGTCTTACATAAGCTTGGCAGTGAAGAAAACCGCCAATCGGGTCTGTAACAAGCCTGACTGGATTTCCTCGATCTTCTATCTTGCTCATCCGTCGCTATTTCTTGAGAGTCTCGTAAGGTACATGTTACTCATTTATTCCAGAAACCTTTTCTCATTCATGATTTTTATCCAGTTATATTCCAGAGTGGATTATCTCCTTTTCACATAGAACAACCGGCCAAGTGGAACCGGTAGATCAGTATCCTGCAAAGTCACTTGCCTTTTGCGCCTCCACTGATTTGTGTACCTGGTTGAATTAAAGGGCGTTCTCGTGCTATTGACAAGCGATGTCACGACTCGCCCTCAGTTTGAAGAATGTCAATAGCTTTACTCTACTTTTGCCGGTACGGACGAAAATGGGAAAAGCTGTTCCTGCAAGAATAGATTACCAGCTTCGCAGACTCATGATGGATGAAGACGATCCGCGGTTTCGAACGCGAGTTGTTGATTCAACGATTGAGGTAATTTAGTGAATTGATTTCCTCTCATGTCTTTCTGCTGTTTAAATGCTTTAAGTATGCAAGCGATAGAGGTAGCTTAGCAGAAAGCCGCTGCGAAGTTGTGTGTTCTTGCTGTCTAGGTAGTCTGTATTCAACCCTTGATCAGTCTTTCTGTTTCTCCGTAGTTGAGAACCAGCACTGATTGATTAAGGGGTCCAAAGACGCCTGATACTCAACGGCTTTTGTTATTAAAATGCGATCGCGCGAAGTAGTATCTGGGTCATTATTTCAGACGATTTGGGAATAAATCACAGGTTATAAGGTCAGGCAGGTCGTTCTTCATGGCACTATAACAACAGAACTGTTCTAAATAATTAAAGTAGGTGGTTAACCTAGTCGTTTTAAATTATGGAGAACTTCAATAAAGTTTTCATTTTAAGTGCATAAATTGTTCCGTAAACGATAAATAAACGCAACAAGCCAACTTCGTTGGCTTTTGAGTGAAAGAATTCAGAGAAGCGCGTCTTCAGCTAGAGGAGATGACAAGTCTATAAATTCAGTTAGTAAGTGACTGTTACGGTGCAGAGTTACACGTCTGACTGTTGTCCTCCAGTCTGTCCTGAATAGTGCGATCTGAAAGTGACAGTACTATACCTTGTATGTTCGGCACCACCAGGATTATGTTCTAACGGTCGAGTCCCGCGATGTTAACCGATATTGTTGAGCTACTGATGTTAGAGGAAATTGATGGACGGAACTGCCCTGCTTCAGCCCACGTAATCTTGAAGGTTAGTTATTCGATGATCATGATGGGAGTCAGATTGGGTATCCCAGAAAGAACTGCAGTCTTTAACAAAGACCCTATCGGTAACCGACGGTCATATTGTCCAGCTGGTTCCACCATCATCATCATCAATGATAGCAACATCAGTGTTCGCACTGATGCTTCACTGCTGGTTCCACCTCTGGCTTGTGGTTGCTAGGCTCCAGGTAAGTCGATGTGTTTGCCTGTATCAGAAGTTCGTACTATCCAGCAATAGACGATGTTCAGTTCACAACTGTTTCATAGGCGTGCGCCACCATCCTCCTGCTCTTGAAGACGGACATTCCCAAGGTTTGATCCTGTCCATGTGCGTGGCTGGCCTTGGCAGAAGTGGGGCAAACCACTGCTGTCGAAAAGTACTAGTACTAATGTCGCAACGCTGTGACCAACCCGGTCTGTTGAGATTAGGCGGTCGTCCCCTACAGGACGCCTTTTGAATGTATTCTGAGTTCGGCTCACTAGTAACGCAGCATTCCGTCTGTCTGCAGCGGGCACTATGTCAGCAAAGCCACACCTTAATTCCCTGGCTGTGACTGAGCGTTCGGTTTACAACAGTGTTTTGTGTCTTTCTATGGCATCCCTGTGTACACCAAGCTGAATTCTGATTGGCACTAGTTGAGGGAGTTACTATTGTGATTGGTGTCGGCCACTAGACGGCTTTCTTGCATGCATTGTGGGTACCAACTGCTTAGTTGTGTCCACCGCCCTAACCGAAGTGGATCGTAAGTGGTGTTACGTGGTTTCGTTGCCAGTCTACTCGTTGTTTTCATTACCCTTTCAAGTGTACTCTGTATACACTGTCATACTATATATAGGCGGCTGTTTGTCAGTATCGTTGTATGGAAGTGGTTTAATGTGTGTGCTCAAATGCGTNGATTAGGCGGTCGTCCCCTACAGGACGCCTTTTGAATGTTTTCTGAGGTCGGCTTGCTAGTGGCACAGCCTTACGTCTGTCCGCAGCGGGCACCGTTGCATTCCCATATGTGTCAGCAAAGCCGCACCTTCACTTCCTGGCTGTAACGGATCGTTAGGTTTAAGACAGTGTTAAAAGTGTCTTTGTGTGGCATCGTTGTTTGCAACAAGCTGAATACTAATTGGCATTAGTTGAACATGTCTCCCTAGAGTTACTATTGTGATTGGTGTCGGTCACCAGACAGCTTTTTTGTATGCACTGTGGGTGCCAACTGCTTAGTTTTGTCCGCTGCCCTAACCGAAGTGGCTCATAGGTGGTGTTACGTGGTTTCGTAACCAGTCTACTCGTTTTCATTGCCCTATCTGTGTACTCAGTATACGCTGTCATATTATACTGTATTGCCTTGATGTACTTTTATTTCTGTGTATGTCACACCTTGCTGCACATGACCCCCACTGACACTGGATATGCCGGAGTTTGAAGTCCGCAACTGTACTATAGGTGGCTGTTTGTCAGTATCGTTGGAAGTAGTTTAATGTGTGTGCTCAAATGCATCTCCTAAGTGGCACAGATAACCAGATAGCACTTTGAACTGACGGGGCTCAACTGTTCGGATACCCCCATTTGAACTGATAATTATAAGTCACCTGTTTGGCGTAGTGGTTAGTGGCTTTAGAAATGACCCCATATGCAACCTCCGCTCTCATTCTTCCCGGGTTCTTACGGGATACAGGGCGTTCAGATGGATGCGTATGTGGCGCAGTGCATACTACAGGTGACATTGTCTTTCGTACTCCGAGATCTGTTAGCGTAGTTCAGTGTGACGGACAGATCCGAAAGCGGATAAGTTGAACGCTTTCCAAGGGCGAAACCGGTTGTGGNTCAAATGAGTCTCCTAAGTGGTACAGACAACCAGATAGCACTTTGCACTGACTGGGGAGCTCACCTGTTCGGCCGTACACATTTGAACTGATTATTATAGGTCACCTGGTGGCTTTAGAAATGAGCCAATGTGCAACCTCGGCTCTCATTCTCCCCGGGTTCTTGCGGGGTACAGGGTGTCCAGAATGATGCATATGTGGCTTAGTGCATACCATATATCGTCTTTCTTGCTCCGAGATATATCGGCGCAGTTCGGTGTGACTGACAAATCTGAAAGCGGATAATTTGAACACTTTCCTGTTCACATTGATGTCAACTTTTACCCAGCAACACAGGGTTTAGCATAACCATAACCTTTGGTTCTGGCTTACAACCAATAACGCTCTACTTTCGATTACTTGATCGATTTCGTAATCTATCCGAGTTCTTTCCTTGCAATGATAACCTCACACAAGACCACGCACGGGGTTCGGCGTTGAAGTTGACTGCTTTCTGGGTAAACCGTTTACTCATATAGAATCATGGTATTTTTTCACATCTAATTGGTCAGAGGTTCGCATTGGCACATTGTTCATTGATTGAGAGGTCTTCCAATTTCCGTTGCATTTCCCCTTTCAGGCCGAACATATTATGCGCAAGGCTGATGATTTTTCCAAGGAGGACCGTATCGTTGTTCCCAAGCAGGCCGATCTCACTCGTGTAAACGGTGTGCCCGAAGAGCACCAATCTACACGTCGAGTTCGTATCTATATCCCGGCACGGTCGGTCACACAAAGTGGCGATCATGGCACTCGTTTATGGCGGCTGGACTTTGACAACCGAGAACGTTGGGAAAATCCTTTGATGGGATGGGCAAGCAGTGGAGATCCGCTGTCAAATGTTTCCGTGGAATTTGAGACACCCGAAGCTGCAGTAGACTTTTGTCAACGTCAGGGTTGGCCGTGTTATGTGGAGGAGCCCAACCTGCCTAAAATGCGCATAAAATCCTACGGTGCCAACTTTTCGTGGAACAAAAGAACTCGTGTTGCTACCAAGTAGTCAGAACTGCCCAGTACATCTCTTTCGCATCGCTAGTTTCCCTTTTGACTTGAAGATTTCAGTGTCCCACAGGAGCTCATTTGAGGGCATGTTAATTAAATATCTTCCAGCTTACACATACACGCTTTTCCGTTGACTTACAGAGATCGATCGCGTTCATTTAGTCACGTGAGATGCAGGACACTTTAGACAGTGGTATCTGTCCCTCGAGTGCTGATTGTGATGCTATTAATGCAACAGACCGCGAAATCTTTCATCTACAACATCCATCATCCCTAACTTACAACTTTGCGGGTAGCTAAACTATGCACAACGACGTTCCACAAGTCTTTGGGATTTGTCCAGTGGAAGACCGCGACAAAGATATTTGGTCGCCGATTTTCGCCCTCATGTTGAGTGCTGATTGCATTTGTCTTTCGTGGAATGAAAATAGTGCGGAAATCGAAGGATCAAAGTTATTTTCCAAATGTGTTTATTCCCCCCCCCCCGCCGGATCCATCGATCTGTGTTCCCTCACCTGTATGCTGGCAGCACAGTTCTGGTTAGTTCTTTGGTCTTTCCATAGAAATGAGAGGCCTACTGTACTATGACGTCATGTAACACCATTAGAATCATACACTTGGTCATGAGTTGAAATTACATTACATAGACGTAACACGCTACTCATAGGGTTGCTGAAAACTCTTTGATAGCCCACGACCGGTTTCGCCCCTCTTGGGACCCATTAGTATTAAGTCTATACAATGTACTGCGATGCTGCAGTATCGTTCCGACTGAAACATGAGGCGGCCTGATGCAACACATTCGTCGATCGTTCACCTGTAACGCTCTTTCGGTGACTAGCTCCCATGCCACCCGAAGGAAGCACGAGGGTTGGGATACTGCCAGTTTGCCCAAGCCTAGACAGGTGAAGCAGAGGTCGGGTTCGAACCACGGCCTTCCAACCAGTAAGTGCGCGTTTTAACCACTGAGTCATTTCGCCCCCTGCTGCACATTCAGTTTTAGAAGAACACCTCAAACGATTGTCGGGTCGTTTCAACGGCCTGGTTTGGGCATCATCATCATCATCATCGACAGCATGATATCAGTGTTCACCACCGATGCTTCACTGCCGTACCACCATGGCTTATTTGAAAGCCTTATTGTAAAGAAAAGAATAAGGGTGGACGGGGAAGGAACTTGATGCTAGCTTACTACAATCATTTCGAGGTGTGCCTACACCTCCAGACATTCACTCAGGCAATCTGGATAGAAACTGACAACAAGAACGCTACTGACGTCGGTTGGCAGCCATATGTATGTACATTGTTGAAGCAAACGTATATCGCTTCGGACTCATCAATGTTACATCTGTGTAATCGATTGCGATGCTGCAGTACCGTTCCAACTGAAACATGAGGCGGCCTGATGCAGCATATTCAGTTTAAAAAGAACGCCTCAAACGAGAGATTCAGTCTGGTCTCCTGTGAAAACCAAATTGCTATGCAAATGAGTGTATTTCGCTGGTATGTACATTGTTGAAACAAACGTATATCGCATCGGCGTGGTCTTCTTCCCATTGTTATCAGTTTGGAATCCAAGTTACTTCTACCTTGTGTTGAGGAACACTTTTGAATACGCGGCCTTTCGAGTGAATTCTCCTCACCAAGTTTTTCCAATGAGTTTCGGCTCCGAGTCGTGACCCTAACCCATTCGCCATTTTTATGTTTTGCCAGACTAGCTCAGCTTACCAGGTCGTTAGAGTGTTATCCGATTTATCCATAAGGTATGCAGAGTGACAGTGTCGAAGTCGGTATGAATTTTGTCATTTGCTTTTCCGGTGATAAAAAAGTCGTAGTGACTGAACCTGTGAACCGTGATATGAGCTGAGCTTGGGGAGTTTGAGTGCTTCAATTAAATCTTCGTTATCTTCTGGAAGAAACAAGTCATCTGGTCACATTATTTATTACTCACCATGTTCAAAAATGGTGGAGTAGCGGTCGTGCATGGGAATATCGGTTCCGTGGATCGCATATCTTTTCAAGGAAGAAGCAGAGTCCGGAACCCACAGAGGTACCAATAATATAATAAATATCTATTTTAATCCAACAATATATATATAATATACAATATAATTTAGTAATATAATAATAACCGTAGTAATATTGCTACGGTTGCTTCACATGGCTAATCCTGCGAAGATTCAGTAACGCCCTGGAAAAATTATACGAGGTTCTGTCCGAGTCGTGGATGCATTGAACGTCTTCACTTTTGGATAAAATTTTGAACAGAGCCATTCCAACAACAGACATCTTCCGTGATCTGGAAGCAGCCTATGAATCCACCGGCTGTTGTGCATTTTGGTTCTGGCTGACTAGCAAGGGCATTTCCAAGACATCCGTATCAATTCCACGTCCCCACTTTTCTGTCATTCTTGGTCTATGGACAATTTTCTCCCAACTTTGCTATCTAAATTCGGGTCCGACAAGGCTGTCTTCTCCCACCGTTTCTCTTCAACTTCCTAATCGAGATTAGTGTGGAAATCGCTGTAACTATTTGCTTCCTGGGGAGTCAAGATTCTTCCTGCATGGCATCTCACAGACCTACAGTGCGCGGATCGACATCTGGCTGCTCAGTTCGGACCTATCAAGATACAATACATAAGTAAGTCGTCCAGCTGTAGCATCCTTTCGGTGCTTAGCTGCCATGCCACACGAAGGAGGCACGAGGGCTGGGATACTGTCAGGTCGCCCAAGCCTAGACAGGGGAAGTCGAATGGCAGAGGTCGGGTTCGAACCACGGACCTTCCGGTCAGTAAATCCGCGCTCTAACCACTTGGGCCATCTCGCCCATAACTTGGCACACCCAGCCACTGGCTTCCGGCTTCCATCAAACCCAAAGGTTCGGCTTTAAGACCAGACAACATCCCACCCAATCGGGTTATCGTGGCCTAAACATTGGGATTAGTAACAAGTTTGCCTGTCCGACCACCAATGTTGCCTCTGCTCGTGAAATGAGGAATGTCCTTCGTTGCGAAGCTGTCTACCGGCAAGCACGGATCAATCGGTTACAAGCCATTAGACACGAAAGTAAACATCTCATGTGCACAGTTTTTGAATAGTGAACATTTTCAAGCGTCCTCTTGAACTCTCCTGAACGTTTATTGAATATTAAACAATGGTGAACGAACGCTTCAGAGTTCTCCCATTATTTCCGCAGTAACCTTTACTCTCCGTGAGATGCGGAGACGGAGCTTGGACACCTGCCCATAGACCAACTTCATGCTTTATCAGTAGTATACACCTAGTGGATGGAAGAAGGCCTTCGCTGCGGAGTCATTCATTGGAAAACACCAACTGAACAGTTAGAGACTATTGGATAGGGAAGCAAATCTCTCATATGCATCTTGTTTAAGAAAACCGAGTATCTCCCTTCTCGAACGTGTTTTCCTGAACTTTCCGGGATACTCATTGACTATCACTCAAATTTAAACGAATGCCACAAGGTAATTCCACGAATTCCGTGATAAATCTCACTTTTCAATAGACGCGAAGCGGATTTACGGGAAAGCCACACACTATTCGCATGCCTTCTCAGTAGTATCCGCCGTTGCACTAGTAGTATTGCCTATTTCGTGATTACTAGTGTATGAATAGCCCCAACTTAATCACTTATGGCACCCTCGTGAGAAGTAGAGTGCACAACACCCCAGCACGATCGTTTCTGGCCACTTTTCATGGAAGACAGAAAAAATTACTTGAATTCGATCATCCATATCTCCACCTCTTTACACATTTAAAGACGTACCGTATTCATAATGCTGAAATACGTCCTTTAGTATTTCGCAAGTCCTGTAGTAGACGGTCGATTGAAAGTTCGATACAATTACAGCTGTATTCTCCCACTCATGTGTTACGCAGTCGGAAAACCGTTTGCCCAGCTCAAACTTATTTACACTATCGGATTTTGGCCGGAAGAAAACGATGGCAGCTGAATAGGTTGTAAAATGACGGGTGTACCAACATCCAGTTCACGGGCATGTGCTGTCTGCCAGGTTGGGTAACTAAGGTCCCAACTAAGCGGTGGCTGGAGACCATCGTTGATACAGTTTAATCGAAAGGGGCGACGGGCCGAAAGTGGTTAGAGCGCGAAATTGATGATCAGAAGGTCCGTGGTTCAAACCCGCCCTCTGCCGCTCGACTTCTTCTGTCTAGGCTTGGGCAACCTGGCAGTATCCCAGGCCTCGTGCAACCTTCGGGTGGCATGGCAGTTAGGCACCGGAAGGGTGCTACAGCTGAACGATGCCAGTTTAATCGAAAAACCTGTGACGCGCTTGAATTGACTCAATTATTTCCACCCCTTCTCGATTTCTTCGACATTGAGCGCTATCAGTGGTTGGGGACCGTTGTGAAATAGAACAAGATAACAGAAGCAGGATTGGATTATGTTCTTTTGGTAATTCATGTTTATCCCTGTTCATGTTTCGCACTCCACATGCGTCGCTGCCAAAAGATGTCGCTCAAGCTGATCAATTTGAACAGTATAGCTCCCTACCCTCCAGGATACATGGATGCAGAAACGGATGCATAGGTCAAAGTCCGTGTATTGAATGTAAAAATGTGAATATTTCCATAAATTTCATAGAGAAGAAGTGGGGTGAAATGAGGGAGAAATTCTCTTTCAAAATATCCTCACATGATAATTTACCTTAAAATCTAAACTATTGTCAAGTAACAAGATTGAACTTTTCCAAACGGCACCAATAGTCCTCTAGCCCATAAAAACTGTATTCCACACCGGTTTGAAGATGCTTAAAGTAGTTATGGGTTGCGTATCACGGGTCAGTACTCTGAAAAGCAGAATTCTTAAAGTGGTTGGACGTAAAACTGTGAAAAAATTTCGCTCATAAACACATTCAATAAAGGGATAACACCTGAGTTAATTTGTTCTGCTCAGAGCAGGCTACCACAATAAATGTAGTTGTATAAGCTATCCATTGTGAGCTCATTGCTAACAAATGCCGTCAAAACTCGGCTAAATCAGAACTCTCCAACAGTGGATGGAACGGATGCGTCGCTAGTGAGTTAAAAACAAACTTCTTCATAAAGGAAACTACTCACAAGGTTGCTGAAAACTCTTCGACAGCCCACGACCGGTTTCGCCCTTCGTGGGGCTCATCAGGTAGGCGCAGTCTCCGAGTTTCCGTCAACCTTATGTTCTACTTGAACCCAAATTGGACTGGTTTCGGGAAATACACTCACTTATTTGTCAAAACCTTCCGATATTTTTTACAAGTTTCAGTAGAATTCTTAGGATAACTTGAGGTTGAATTGGGGTGCCCGAATAGATGTGTAAGTTCGGGGTTGAAACGTGAAGCACTGCATACTCGCGGACCCCTTGATTTAGAATCGGGTCATACTTCGGTCACCACTGCATTAGCCACGCGTGTGAAGCACTGCATACTCGCGGACCCCTTGACTTAGAATCGGGGCATACTTCGGTCACCACTGCATTAGCCACCGCTACAATTAATATACTCGAGACTCTGACCACCTGACAGCATGTGTGATTCCCATGATATGATACTACTTATAAGTTCGATA